TTCAGGCCTTTCTTCACTCAGTTCTTCTTTTCTAAGACTTTTATGCGTTCCAAACGGTGGCAGGATCTCAAGGGAACTCAGCGTCCAGGACTTGTTCTGGACTCGAGGGCACAGAGAATTGAAGTGATGCCATGTTTCATTGTATGCCTTGTAGTAAAGGAGCATATGAAAAGCAAAGAGGTCTTGTGGAGAAATGAAAGTCTCATGTAAAGATGCAACGCTTCATCCACAACGAAATGGTACACTAGCCTAACAGAAGGGCATTTTGCCAAAGTCTGAAGGCATAAGCTATTCCTAAAATGGTGTTGTACTTCTAGACTGGAACTGTTATTTGGCAGTCACAGTGACAGAAATGGATGGAGTGCTGGAAACTATGAACATTCATTCAGAACAGAAATTTTATTGTTGTATATTTCCTGTTTCCATCCTTTCCTTTCTCCCTTTCTCTCTTTAGATGCCCAGACTAAAATTCTTTTGAGTAGTATTGAAAGAGCTAGGCACGTGGACTACAGCTTACCATGAGTCTTGTCCTTGGGGACATTGGCCTGTTACGTAGAATGAACTCACATGGAAAAACATCTAGACAGACTTTACTAGGAAATCAAAGGTGGACACCTGAGCCTTCCTCCCGTAGGTAGTCTTCTCCCAGTTCAACAAAAATACTTTATAATACGAGTATGAAAGATCTTGGCTATTTTTTTTTTCAGTCTTTAGGATTAGTTGGTGACCAGTGGCGAAAGAGCTAATTTGAAACTGTTCTTCTCATAAAGCAATAATTTCACCAAGAGGTAGGTGGTAGGTAGGGTATGGGGCATGATGTTCCAAGAGGGATAACGGACTGGAGGAGAGGATGGACTGAGAGCCAACGGAGCAGCACCCACCCCAATGCTACCCTAAAGTTCAACAGTATTGGAAAATAGAGACATCTGGGATTTCCTAGGGTTTGTGTGGCAGCTACATAAAGCAGAAAGCTGGTAGCTATGTGAGCGGGGACAGGCGTAGCTTGTATCTGATGGGCGCTAGTCTGTATAGCAGCTGAGTATGTAGAAAGTTGGTCACCACTTAATTTTTTTCATTGTCCTTATAGTCTTTTTATTGTTATCATTTTTTAAGATATCTTCTCTCTCAATATGGCCACTTTGGATGGGATTATCGTTTCAGCTTTCACCTTTGTTTCACAGGTCTATGTTTTCCAGAATTTTATTGAACACAAAGCAGACAGATGCTCCCTAAAATTTATTTCTGTTTCCATTAGTGAATTTTCTTTTCTCTGCATCTCTGCTTGCTTTATTGCTGACTCTTTTCACAGTTTTTCTTCTTTCTGTTTAGTTGTCCTTGAATAAAGAGAGGTGAACATCGGCTGGGTGTTTACCGTACACACAGTGGGTCTGTTGTCCTAAGCTCCCTTCCTGTCTGCCAGAATCTTCTGCTCATCTTATAAGCTCGAAAGATGGGAGTAGATTTGAATTTCTGGTACTACTTCTGCATCTTCGAGATACTTTATTCTTTGTCGTTTCTTCCCTGGGTTTGTCAAAGCCACGGAGTGAGGGGTTTGTTTGTGTTTCCAACTTTCTTTTGGGTCAGACTTTCACGCCAGATAAACACGGCTGTGCCCAGAGTCTGTCTGACACTACTGGCGACCACATCAAGGGGGAGCCGCATACTGCTGATTTTCTGCTAATCGTGGCACAAAGCCTGGGACTTTCCAAGGGAGACGGTTTTCAGCGCTGCTGATCCGAGCCGCTGAGTGGGAATCGGAGTGATGCTCTCTCTGCAAGCACCACTCCTGCTCTGGCTTGGTGTCCTGGCCACCAGGTTACAGGATGGCATGAGGTTCTTCAGGACTTGATTCTCCTGATACTGTGCTTTCCCAGGATTGGGAATTGTTTATAACTGCAGATATTAAGTGACAGTCCATATGAGGTTCTTAATAATTTCAGTTGTTTTCTGTCTGATTATAATTAGTTTTTGGTTCATAAAAGTGACATAGGAAACATTTATGGAATAGGAACTTATCTTAGGAAAAGAAGTGTCATTCATGTCCATGTTTACTTGTCCTCGTGTAATGAGTATTATATTTCATCTGCCACCTCTTTGTAATCTTTTAAAACTACTTGTCTATTTTGTAAAGGTTGGCTTAATTAAGTCTGTGTCATGAATTCACATTTCGTTTAATTGGAGACCCATAAATCTACCCTGTTTGAAAGACTACTGTCATAGAGTCTGCTTTATTTAAAGTTTTTAGTTTTTGTTTTCTGGAAAGCATATTAATGATGAGATTTTGAATTTATCCATGCCTGAGAATATATTTGTTGTCTTCTCATATACATGGTAATTCTATTAAAAATAGATATAGATATGGATATAGATATAAATATCTTGAATGACACATTAATTTCAAAAACTGGTATTGTTGTTAATTTGTCTTCTGATATTTGGCATGGGAGAAATTTACGGCCAGATTGAATTTTTGTTACTTTGTAAGTAATAGAGCTTATTTTCTCAGACTTTCAGGTTCTTTTCTTATTCAATGAAATAAAAAATTACATACGTTGGATGTTTTTATTTATTTTTTTCTGGTTTTAGTTGATCCTTTTTTATCTGCTTGTAAAGATTTTTCTTCAGTCTAAGAACACTTGTTTGATTCAAGCTGCTTCTGTTTATTTCCTGTGAGAGCCCTATTATAAGGAGATAGGATCATCTGCTTCTTCTATTAGTCTTCGATTTTCCCCCTTCATTTTTTTGTGCTTTGTCCTATCCTTTTAGGTTTTTGAGAATCGAGATGCGTTCTGATTAGAGATTCATGTCAATTCCTGCTAGGAACTTTATGCCCCACATGGAGGAAGAAATAAAAAATAAAGTTTAAATTTACCCTCATTTAACTTTGCCAGTTCAGAGTCCAAACAGCCTGCCTGGGGCACCGTTGGGGCCTTGGAGGTGATAGTGAAAGTTAGAGGCAGACCTAGCCAGGAATGTGTTTTGCTGAAGAGCTCCCATTCCTTTTTTGGAACAATTTTCAGGGCACGCTGCTGCGGTCTCCCTGTTCTTTGGCAGGCTGGCTGTCTACTGTGGGTGAGTGAGGGACCGGGAAGCCCATCCATGCCAACTCGCTGTCCTGTGCTGCCTCTGAAACTCAGAGCACTTGCTAACGCTGCAGATAGGAGCCTCAGGGCTGGCCCCCAACTCCAGGCCTGCAGAGGCCTCTGCTGATGTCCTTTGCACATTGCCCTTTGCATTCTGGAGAGTCACACGTCAGGTAGTGGCTCAATCTGATTTCCTCTGTATTGTGCATCATGGAAATTCCTGGAAATTTCTTTTGTAAGGCTGGTCCTCTTGCCTACTTTTTAAGGTCGATGCAGAGTCTCTCCTCCTTCTTTATTGCTGATCATTTTCATGTAGACCTAGAGGAGTAGTTTACATCTTGCCAAGAAGTCAACCTGTTCTCTCTAATAAATATATGTCTGAGTTTATTATTATTTTTTTTAAGTCAGGTTATTTTGAAGTCAGGAAGGTGGGATCAGCCTTGGGAAATGGAGACTTGATGATAATCTTAAGTATCCTGCTAGGATGTTTCTCATCTTACCCATGATAATCAGAGTCACCGAATAACAACAACGGCAATGATGATAATTGTGTTTATAAAAAACAACTGGCACAAAGTCAAAGAGCACAAAGTCCCGTTGTAAGATGAATGCATTCTGGGGTCTGATGTCCAGCGTGGCTGTGATAGTTAGCAAGTGTTAGTTTTGAGTATTGTATACATGAAAGTTGCTAAGAGTACATCTTAAATCTTCTTACCACCAAAAAATATATGTACGTATACTAATGTGAGGTGGTGGATGTGTTAACTAACCTCATCGTGGTAATCCTTTTGCAACATATATGCGTAGCAGATCATTGCATTGTACACCTTAAACTTACACAATGTGTGATATGTCAATTATGTCTGAATAAAGCTGGACAAAACCAACAGTGGGTCACATGGTTGATGAGACTGTATCAATAGCAATTTGATTTCATCTTTATAGCAACCTAGGAGATTTAGTGGTTGGATCTCCATTTTTTAGCTGATGCTCAGAGAAGTGAAACCTTGCCTGGTATGGCATAGGCGGTGCCTCATGACATGTCCTCAGAGGTTCTGCTTATTTCTTCTCTGGCTGTCAGTCTGAAGAGTTGTCCTGTCTCCAGATCTCTGTGGTGTATACAGTGTTCCCAGTTACTGGACTTTGATCATATGCTGGCATTTTGTTGCTCTCACATATACTAAGTGGAGACAATGTGGAGAGAATGTGACTATAAGTCAGAGGAGAGCACATTTTATCATTTCTCGTATACTCTTGACTAGCAGTGGGGAAAGTCTTGTCCTAAGTACCCTGGTTTATCATCCAGCCTCATTTTTAAAAAATTTTTTTAACTAAGGTATTTATCTGTTTCTAGAGGAATTCTTCCTGTTTGGTGAAATAGCTTGCCTTTATGTATTTTTTTTCACAGCCCTCTAAGATTATTTTGATGATTTAGATCTGCTCGGCTGTCTGGGAACATCTGTGGGCCATCCAGAAGGCTGCTATTCTCCATGATCACTGTGAACAAAGCGCTGTCCACAGAGCTGAATCTGACCTGGTGTTTGATGATGTTGTTGTTGCTCATGCTTTGCTACATTCAATTAGAACAAAAAAATTAAAAAAGGAGAAGTAGCGAAATCACTGATAATTTAGGGTACTCTCAGAAAGACAAAAGGTAGTTGTGGACGCTCAGTGTCTAGTGAATGAGAACATTTTTGTTTTTGCTTCACCGTGGCAAAAATGTGTGCATTTATTTTATCGCTTGTTCCTAGAGAAATACTGGTCAGCTCCATCATTATTAGATTTGTGTTTTCCTTTCAAATATATTGGAATAAATAATAATAAAAAAAGCCAGTAGCTATAAAATATATCACTATAATTGTAGGATTAGTCTTTGTTCCTCTATTCTAACTGAATTATGTCTTTTTCTCTCCCTAGGTTACGGTCTTTGGTCAAACAATTAGAGAGAGGGGAGGCTTCAGTGGTAGATCTCAAGAAGAATTTGGAATATGCAGCCACAGTGCTTGAATCTGTATACATTGATGAAACCAGGTAAGCTAAAAATGACAAAAAGTTAGTGCAGCGATGGTGCATTTCATGTTATATGGTTTTTCTGAAATGTCCCCCATGGCATGTATGAAGTAGCATTCAAATGACTGGTTTTAGAGCTTAAGTTTCCACAAACGAATGGAGTAGATTCGCACATCACATATCTTCTGTATTGCGTCATCTATAAAGGAGTTAATAGAATTTCTCTCACATGGCTATTATGATAATGAAATGAGATCATAGAAGAGGAGAAAAGTTAATTTTAACAAATCTGGTAAGATTTCTTATCAACCGTGGGGTTCCACTATAAGTATTGCGTATTGTTAGCCTCAGTCTAAAGATTATGTTTCTACTTGAAGTCACGGCATCTATCTTTAAGTGAAGGCTCCAGAAGTTATGGGGAAGTGTTTATTCAGCTTATGTACTCAGTGTACCTCCTTCGATCTTGAGTTTGTTATTGATTTTCTTAGCAGACTCTTTCCACTTGAATTATCTAAAAGTATTAAAGTACTTGCATTTGAAAGTAACGAAATTGCATTTCTTTTGAAAAATATTAAAATGGTGAATATGAAAGGCTTTTAAAAAAAATTCAGAGGAGCACCTCTGTCAGTATTTGTGATGTCTCACATTCCTATGCTAAATTCCAATCTGAAACGACTTCCCAGTAATATGAGAATTGTGTGGCTTAGTTTTTGGTGACATTCTTAGTTCCTAATTTAAGAAAATTTGATATCATAGTTTTTTTTTTAACCAAATGTTATGTTTTCTCACCTTTCTCCCAACTCATGTGTCTAAAAGAAAAAAAAAGTCTTTTCATTGACACCTGTTTTTACTACTTATTTTTAGTAGGGCTTAATATAAGTATAATATACAATTTTAAGTTTTATTGTAACTTATTACTATTTATGTTCTGTTCTACTTGTCTGACCTGTGGACAAGTTTGAAAAATCAACTAAGCATACCTGACAGATGATTTAAATCTCTGTCCTGAAATAAAGAGACTATTATTTTGGAAATTTTGCTTGAATTTAGACATTGAAGTTCCTGTAGTGTTCTATCAAACTGGAGAGAGTATCGGTTGACATCATTTGGGTTGATGTGATTTGGGGTAATACCTTGCAAAGTCTGTTTTTTTATTTTCATTTTTTATTTATTTATTTATTTATTTTTAGGCAAGGCAACTTTTGGTTGCCCTCACAGATTGCAAGGACCTTTTCAGCTTACAATCCCTTATTTTTTATTTTTTACGCCCACAGCACCTGGTCTTCCTAGGTGGTCTCTCATCCAAGTACTAACCAGGCCTGACCCTGCTTAGCTTCCAAGATCAGATGGGATCGGGCTTGTTCAGGGTAACATGGCCATAGACATTTTTTTCTTTTTTAAAAATTTATTTTTATTGAGCTACATTTGGCATGTAACATGTGTAAGTTTGGGTGTTGATTTGCAATGTGTCGATTTGATACATTTATATATTGCAATATGATTACCCCAGAGCATTAGCTAACACCTCTATCACATCACATAATTGTCCTTATTTTTTTTGAGGCAGGAATACTTGAGGCCTAGTCTCTTAGCAACTTTGAAGTTTATACTACACTACTGTCACCTGTAACTCTAACTTCAGATTTCATCTCGATGTCCTGGTTGTGTTTCTTGTGTTCAGGCGACTCCTGGATACGGAGGATGAGCTCAGTGACATTCAGTCAGATGCGGTGCCTTCTGAGGTCCGAGACTGGCTGGCCTCCACCTTCACGCGGCAGATGGGGATGATGCTGAGGCGGAGCGAGGAGAAGCCACGGTTCAAGAGCATCGTGCATGCAGTGCAGGCTGGGATATTTGTGGAGAGGTAAAGACAGCTGTCACTCCATGATCAAGGCAGCAAAAGGAACCCCGGGTTCCTATAATGGGGAGATTTGCTTTGATGTAGTCTTGGTATCTTTATAAATACTGAAAATTCCAGATGGAAACAGCTCGTCTTGAATGAGAGATGGCTGAAACATATCGATTTTAATCTCTGTAGCATCATTCAGATGAGCTTTTGTCTTTCCTCAGAATTCTTTTTGTTAACTAGAGAAGATTCAGTTTGAGTTCAGTCTCTCCTTTTTACAGAAGGACATCGTCTAATCCATCATCCTTTGCTACAGGTGGATGATGCCTGCATTTGGAGCAGATCGGGGACAGCTTGTCAACCCTGGGAGGGCAGTTCATTCAAGGGGTTTGAGTTCCCTGTGAAACTTTCCAATTTTGTTAGCCATTTTGTTCTCTGGAATGAAATAGCCCCCACTTCACCAGAAATAGATTCCAGAAATCAATTTATTATTTCTACAATCCTTATTATACAAATGGATATAGTCTTCCTCTAATCCTTATTGTACAATTACAGGGTTTTGAAATGCCACAGTTCACCTGGGACATTTTTTTTTTCTCTTATTTTTAACAGTTCTAAAGAACAAGCCCCTCTAAATGGATTGCTCACAGGAGTTCTTTACTACATTGCATACTGTCTATGCTGTACTATAATTCACTTCTGGTGGAAGAGATGACCCATTTCAATAATTTAATTTCCAATTTGGGTGACCTAGAATAATTTTTGTTTGTTTGTTTCAAATAGTTTATGTGTTTGGGATCGCTTTGATTTCTTTTGAATTTAACACTTAGGTTTGAGTGACTATGAAAAAGGTTTATAAAGAAATTTTAGGTTCCTCGAGTCACCAGACAATGTGACTTTCTATTGTCGACACTTGATATAAGTCGGTGGCCTGCTAATTCTTTTTTGTAAGATATAATATTGCATTTTCTTCCTCTCTGACTTTGCCAGAATGTATAGACGGACATCGAACATGGTTGGGCTGAGCTATCCACCAGCTGTTATTGAAGCATTAAAGGTAATGCCAGTAAAAAAGTCTTACAGTGTACATAGTACCCTATAAAAAGTGCAGTTGCATTTGTTGTTAGAGAATAGGAGGCTTTCTTTTACCGTTTATAGATTTCCCATTCATTCCTGACTTTTTATATTATCTTTCACGTATCTGTTCTAACAGTATCACTGTCTTTCCAGCCTTCGTCTTGCTAAATTTTTACCAAATCAAATTCTGTATGGGTTTTCTTTCTTTCTTCTTCCTTGGAGTCATGTAGTGAAATGTACAGTGCTCTGGCGTTAAGGGACTCCATCTGACATTGACCAAAGGAGATCAAACTCGTTCTGGTTATAAATACACAACACCAGGAGGCTCTTTGGTGATCATAATTGTACCATTATCTGATTACTTACTCTAAGTCCATTTTATAGATAACGAACTGATTCTCAGTGACATTTTAAAAAAGACCCACTTTATTAGAGACAGAACTAAGGTTTGCTACCAGAGTTCCAGGCACATCGTAAGCTCCCAGTAACGTCTTGCTGCGTGAATGTATGCTCCCAGAGTCCTCGTCCTCTCTATATATTCTACTGTTTTCCCAAGACTCTCACGGAGCCCAAAAGTTCTATTTGAAGTCACGCAGAATTTTTGAGTTGAAATGAACTAAATCCTGCACAATTACTTCTTATCAGGCATGCTCTTGGAGTGATATAGACTATTTCTAAGAGTCTCGATGTGGATGTACTCCTCTAGGTGTGTGTTGATTCAGATCCACTGGTCTGAGGGTAGCCCGGCTGTGTTGAGCTGATTTGGCTTCTGGACTTGGGGTTGGGGCTGTGCTAAGGCCCGGGATTGCTGGGCTAGTTGACATTGCATGGTGCCTACACATGGAGTCCTGTCCCTTTGCTCAAAGATGTCCCAGCATTCTGACTATTGTTAAAGCTATTGTTATCTTTCTCTGAAACCTTAAAAATATATCACCTGATGATATTTTCAGAAGATAAATGACCTATTCGTGGACTCAAGGGTAGGAGTGCTACTTGATCAACTTAATGTCAAGACAGAGTCCTTTAGGGCTATTTTGATTAAATATTTCATAGTCCCTTTCCCTGGTCTCAAAGACTTTCACTAGCTAAATTCGCAAGACTCTATATATTCAGATTCTCAGTTTTCTGTCTCTTCTTAACTCATCTTAAAAATAGGAAGGATGCTCTAAGAAGGATACAGCAAGAAGAAACACATTTTCTCTCACTCCCCTTCAGCCCCCATTCTAATGCCCAATACAGCAGTGTGATTTATATCGATATTTCCCATTTAATCAGTGAAATCATTTCATATGAGATTTGATGTTTCATGACACCCACTATAAAGTCACATTGATTTTCATAATTGAACCTCCAACATTCAGTGAAAGTCATAGGAACATTAAAAGCATCTTTTATGTTTAATTTCTTCCTTTATTGTGAACATAAATGCAGGTGGTTATGCTGGTACTGTGAAATTTATGAAAATCTTTCTTCCAAATTGGAACATTATTTTCTATTCATAAAAAAAACTGAGGAAAATGTGGAACAACCTGTGATGTGCGTGAATTGTTATTTTATGCTCATGGGAAAAGTAATTCTCAAATGCACATCTATCTTTCTGAAGGGAAAGATAGCGACAAAGAATAAGTACCAACTCCTCCACAAGCGTCGCTGATGGGCACATAGGGCTAAGGCGGCTGGTTTCTGTTCATCTTCTCCCCTGTTCACTGGGGAAGTTCAAGACCTTTTTACAATGTAATATTTTTCTACTTCCCTAAACTCTGGTTTTATTGGCAGTGAATTGGAGGCGAGTTGGAGAGATCACATAGATAGATACCTTTTTCTCTCGTTTTTAAATGTAGTGCCTGTTAGAAAAAGGTTACTTCCACTTCACTGCTAGCCGTTTATATGGAATCACTGTTGTTTTCTTCTATTACAGAAAATTTCCCCAGAGACTGAGAGAATACAATTTAAGAAAATAACCTCCATGCTACTATCATGTTAACCCTTTGTGATTAGTGTAAAAACATGACATAAAGTAACATTTAAGTAAGAGAACAATTAACCACCATCAGTCTCTTAATTTGAAATATGTTGCATTTTTGTCCTTTTTATTTTTTCCATCCAATATGTACTGGATTCTCATTCGAGGTGTTTTTTCCCTTGCCCTCTGAGGTGGGGCTATGGGAAATGCAGAAGCGCGCCGTCCTTCAGAAGCGTGTGTGTCGTTCACCTTAGGAAGTGATGCCCTGGACAGACTCCGGGTCTAAAGCAGGAGAAAATGAGGAGATTTGGCTTCCTTTACGTGGGACTAATAGGAAGTTCATGCAGTTTCTGTACAGGAATGGACCTTGGGCCAAGCCTGTGAGCGAGGGAGAATGGCTTAAGACAGTTAAGCAGGTGCTTGTTGAAACGCAGACTCTAGGCCCAACACCAGGATTCTGCTGAGTCCCCCACCCCAAGATCAGCATTTTTTTCTGCATGCCCCAGGTGGTTTTGAAGACTATTGAAATTCTAGAATTATGGCTAAGCGCTTCTGAAAATGAGGTGTGGGGGAGGACATCCATCTCACTCTCTATTTACTCATCCTCTCATGTCTCTAAATCCTGATGTTCAGAATAAATCTTGACTTCTTACTGTGATAATCTCTTTATTTCCAGTAATAGCCATTCTTTTTTTTATTTATTCTAGAGATTAGGATTAAACATTGTCAGGCACAACAAAGTGTTTTCCCACTTACTAAGTTGTCAGTGGACTTTTTTTTAGGACTAATGGTCAGACAATGGATGTCAGGACAGTTGTAATCGTCAAGGCGAAGTTTTAGGTCTTGGGTTAATCTTAAATGTCCGCACTGTCTATGGCCTGAGTCACAGGATATATTCATTGAGTCTACAATGTCACCTGTCGGCAATGATGTCGGCAATGATGTCAGAAGGTCTGTTACCTGGTTCTGCTACTGAATGGCATTAGACCCTTCGTTTCATCTCTCTGAGGTTGTCAAACTGGGGAGAGCAACACCTATTTCTAGAGTTCCGAGGGTTTACAAGCGAATGTCTACACTTTATACTGCGCCTGACACAGAAAATGTACTCAATACTTGGAGCTATTTCTTTAGTTATTATAATGGAGGAGAAATTATTGAAAACTGAGGTGAGGTTACCACTAAGTATGCGTTGAAACAATAAAGTCTGAAACCCTTTTTGGGTTTCTTCATATACAGTTTGTTTTTTCTCTTCCCTGGCATCCATGAGAGAGACCCTTGATGTCCTTGGGATGATCTTGACAGTTGGGATGTTTGGAGAGGGACAGGATTGGGATGGGTGGTGGATGCTGGGATATGGTGAGGGCCGAGGTGAGAGCCACTCAAGCCAGTAGTTCCTGATAGCTCAGGTCACTTCCAGGGCACCATCTGACACCTTGCCTGGACTTTCTTTACTGAAGGGGAGACCCTCATCACAATGAGAAACCAAATGACTCTTGCTTTATCTGTTGGTTAAATATACCTTTGTTTACACGTAAAAATAGCTGGTTATAAGTCAAAGGCACATCGGACAAGGTTTACATATCTTTTGGAGGAGCTATTTATAGCCAAATTCAGCTTCAGACACAACAATATATGAGGAATGTGCTCAGCTTAGCTCTCGGTTTTCCTCTTTTTAGTACAGTGACTGCCAGAGTTGAGAACTAGGTCCCCAGATCAGTGACTCCAGAGTGGTGACATTTTTCTGACCTGTGAAACGAAGACTTTCTCCTTGGGTTCCACTCAGCAGTTTGGACTGAAGTGACATGTTATTTTGTTTTCTATATAATGCATGTTTCCAAACACATTTAAGGGGGGCCTTTTTCAACTGTGGACCAAGAGGAAGTCAGTGAATGGTCTCAGGGGCCTGGGGAGAAGTTGAGTAGGCAGGCACCCTAGGTTATTACCGGGAGAATTAAAAATTTGAAATTCGGCAGTCGTAGTGGAAGGACCTACTGGAAAGAGCATGAGCGGAAGTGTTGGGTGAGTGTGCACCAGTGTTCTGGCCTCGCCTGTGCCCCTAACACTCACTTGTGATGAGTCTCGGGGAAATTCCGTAACTTCCCAGTTACTAATAATACGTAACACTTAGAGTTGTTTTCGGAATAAATTACATTTTTATCACTGATCATAACACCTAGCATATGATAGGCACTCAATAAATTATAGCTGTTGTTATTAATAATAAGACTATTTAATATTTTATCAGTAAATGCTACATAGGTCTGCCAGGCTGGAGAAACTCTGGGAGTGGAAAGGGCGTTAGGGTCTTGGGCTGGGAAGTCCCGGGCGAGGGCTGCAGGCCACCTCCGCCACAAGGCGATCTGTAGCTGAGTGAGTGGATGTGGACTAAAGTGTTCTTCTCCCCCGCCCCTTCCTGCAGGATGTGGACAAGTGGTCCTTTGATGTCTTTTCCCTCAATGAAGCCAGTGGGGATCACGCACTGAAATTCATTTTCTATGAATTACTCACGCGTTATGATCTGATCAGCCGTTTCAAGGTCAGTGCCTCATTAAAAAAAATGCACACCTTTGTCCATCCTTGCGTGACTTTGGGGCTAAGACCTAGGGAATCCATTTAACGTAGACCAAAAACTGCACTGGGTAACTTGGGATGTATCGTCTGGACAGTCACAGCCATGAACTCTTCTGTAGTAGGAACCTTTTGTTACTCCCCTGCCTGGTGGGGCGCATTGGCCGGCATGAAGCTGGGGCCACACGTTTTGATCCCAGTCTTCCTGGAAGCATCGCCCGAAGCCTGAACTAGCAGAGCTCCCCATGGCTCTGCCCGCAGGTCTCATTTCAGCCTGATTTCACGGATGATCTCCTTCCACCCCGAGGCGACGGTAATGGAGACAGAGCATGTGTCTACTGTCTCTGCAAACTTTATTCCCCGCCCCTTGACTCAGATGCTGACAAATACTCTTACTTATCATCTGTGACAGATCATTGGTATTGTGCAGCCATTCATGATTCAAATTAATTCTTCGACTTTAAGTAAAGAGCGTGAAACGTTCTCAGTGTTCAGTCCTCTCGGCCTCTAATTCCATGGACTCTGGAGGGCAGCTGGGTTCTCCCGGGAACTCAGGAATTCATCTGCTGACATCTGCTCTATTATGCTCCCCATTCTTCTTTCACGCTATGGCAGTGCCTCTGGAAAATGATGCCTTTTTAATATATCGAGTGCTCGGGACAGCATGGTTCCTTACTGCTCTCTGAAGGACTGCATATTTGAGGCTGTATTTCTTACATAGCCATCAGTACTTTATGGCAGCAGTCCTTAATTTCTTTTGCATCAGAAACCTGCTCGAAAATCCAGTAGATGCCCAAGACCTTTTCCTCAGAGCAAAGCTCTCTGCACACGTACACAACTTTGCCCAGCATTTCAGCAGTTCAGAGATCTCTCACAAACATAGATCTCCCAAAGAACATAGCTTTCTTGGATCCTCATTTTAAAAATGATATTGAGTGACTCTCTGACATCTAAAGGCATGATTTACATTTTTAGAGGTTGGCAAATAGTAGATAAGGAAGAATGGGCCCAAGGAAGAACATGTTATGGACTCTCACACTGCATTACAATAATGTTTTCCTTATTTTTTTCTTACTGATGTGATTATTAGTCTCCTAGAACTAACAATCCTTTTCCCTCAGTTTTATACTTGACAATTTACCCTAAACCAAGGAGTTGATCCAGAAAACTAACACAGTGACTGATTTAAGGGTTCTTTTTTTTCCGTACAGATATTTTGCAATTGTTCTTTACTTTCTGCCACATAGAAAAAGAAGATATGCATATTTTACATCTTTGAGACAGAAAATCAATTAGGTTAATTGGAAATATTATTCTAAATTGCAGGGCGCCTATAACAAATTGTCAAGTAATAGATATAAGAGTATAGCCTGTTTCTGTCCTCGTGATAACGGACGATCACATTTTTTTTTTCATGTGTCAGTGGATACAGTCGTTTTTTCTAAAGGGCACCGTTTTCAGGAGGTGGTGGCTTATGTTTGTCATTTAGTGAATTAAGATCTTGGTGCACTTTATGTTTCGTCATAAGTGAGATATGCTGCATAGTATATGTTCATTTACTTCTCAAGAAATAAAAGACCAGAGCTTTTGCTTGAAAGAGAAATGAACACATACCCTTGTGCCCTAAATGCCTTTGGGACTATCCCGGGTAAACTCTCCCCCTCACTGAGGCTACTCAGTCACTAGCTAATTCACCTTACCGCTCTGTTTCAGATCCCCATTTCTGCACTTGTTTCGTTTGTGGAGGCCCTGGAAGTAGGCTACAGCAAGCATAAAAATCCTTACCACAATTTAATGCATGCCGCCGATGTTACACAGACAGTGCATTACCTCCTCTATAAGACAGGAGTAGCGGTAAGTACGCACAGGACCTCTGGGATGACATGAACACCCAGGTCTCTAAGACTTTTTACTTTGAAATCTTCAGAATCAGCATCAAGATAGACATTCTTTGGGTGTGGTTATGCTTTAGTCCATAAACCCAGTACACATTTGTTATCTTTTCTGCAGGGCATGTTGAAGATTTGCTCTAATATCTCTCCGTATTAAAAATGGAATACAGTGGGAAGAGTGTGGGCTGCGGAGCTAGATATAGTTGGATATAAATCCTTGTTTAATTGCTGATTAGATTTTGTGACCTATGATAAATTGCTTGAGTCTCTGAGTCAGGATTTCCTCATTTCTAAAATGGCGAAGAATGGTCTATCTTGCAGAAGAAGTACTGTGACAAGAATAAAGCATCAGCAATGTGAAGCGCTCTGTCTGCCTCATAAAGGAAACTCACCAGTTAGAAATTGTTGTTATTAAAACTTTACAGGATTTCCCCCACCCTCTCATCGATTTTCAGTTCTTCCTTAATGTAAAGCTGATTTCTTAAAAATATTATTTAAAAAGCTATTTTTTAAATTACAGAAGCACCACACAGGGAACCTGTTTGATGTGATAAAGAGTGTCTGCCAGAAACTTACAGCAAATGTCATAGTTAATGGCGGTTCCATGAAAACATGGAGCAAAGCAGGGATATCCATCTTAATATTGCTCTCGAGAATTTTTCTGAAGGTTTCAGTGCATGTGTATGGTATCTGAAAAAGTTAAAGAAGCATCCTGTGAAAATAATTTGATCATCTCCTTTAAAAAAAACCAAGAAAACCAACTCTAAATTATTAGATCAAATAAAAGACCTCAATAAGATCTGAATAAAATAGCTGCCTCAACACTGGAGATTACCAAGTGTAACAGAAAAACATACATACTCAGCAGTTAAAGTCTGTAACTTACCTATGAAGTTTTACTTCAAAACTGATAAAAAGGAAACTGTAAAACTAAATCGAAGGGTATAAACATAAGGCTTAAATAAATGAAGAAATACACTATATTTTTAATGCAAAGCCTCAGTATTATATAGATGTCAATTTTCCTTAAACTAATCTATAAATTCAAAGCAATTCCAATAAAAATTCGAATAGGATTTAAAATGAAACATGGTAAGCTGAGTCCGAAATTTATGTAAATTAGATATTTTACAACCTTAAAAAACAGTTTTGAAAAAGACAATGTGTATGGTTGAATAATTCTTACTTTACTAGATATTAAAATATCTACTGAAGCAATAGTAATAAAAACAGCATGGTATTGGCGCCAATATAGATCTATCAATGGAATTGATTAGAATTTCAAAAACTATACCCAGATATTCAGAGAGCACTTATTTTTTACAGGGTGCTCTTACAAAACTTACATTCTAGCGAGAGGCTACAGATAAAAGACAAGTGAAAAAATAAACAAGGAAATATCACTAGTGTTCTGCAGAGAATTAAAACTGGGCACCCACATAAGGAAAACTGGGAGTTCTGTCAGGTAGTCAGAAGAAGCCTCTTTCCAGAGGTAAGATTTAATCTAAGATGGTTGTGATTTTAGGCTAAGGCTCAGAACTGAAGAAGAGTATGCCAGCAGAGTTAGTGAAGGATTAGTACAAAGTCCCTTGTGAGAGAGCAGCTTTGTTGCATTCACGGAACAGAAATAAAGTGAGCGTGGTGGCAAAAGCACATGGGGGGACAGTGGTACAGCATAAGGTCGGAGAAGAAGGCAGGAGCCAGGCTCAATGTGGCTTTGTAGGCCCGGGTAATAAGTTCCGATTTTGTTCTAAGTGCAGTGCGAGGCCACCAAAGAGCTTAGACAGGAGAGCGACGAACCTGATAAAGGTTAGGAAAGTATTCTGGTGGAGAATAGATCTTGAGGCAGCCTTTACACAGGAGAGCTGTAGAAGTCTATTGGAGAGATGGTAGTAGTCTGAACTAGGAAGGACATCGCTGGGATATAGGGACAACAAGTTCTGTTTCTGAAGTAGCATTCAAAGAATTGGGTGGTAAATAGAATTTGGAACCTTAAAGAAGGGAATCAAGAGTACATCTTAGATTTTTGGTTTGATAAACAGGGTCGATGAGAGAGCCTGGTGGCAAAGCAGACCTTGGGGGAAGGGAGATCGAAAGTTTTGAGTTAGACATATTGAGTTTAAGATCCCTATCCGACATCAATGTGGAGATGTTAGGCTGGAAGAAAATGAAATGAGTGTAGAGTTCTGGAAATAGATCAGGGGTAGGCACGTGGATCAGGCAATGGGCATATCAATATCACATCAGACACGGAACCGGATGAGAATACCTAAAGAGAGCATGTGGCTGGAGAAGGAGGCGGTGGCGCTCTGCAGTGACTCCTGGAGCAGTCCAAAGTTTAAAATGAAGGCAAAGAATTAGAGCCAGCAGTAGTAACTAAAAAGGAGTATGGAGACATGGAAGCCAGAGAAAGACAGTGCTTCAAACGAGAATGGTAAATCGTGTGGGGCGTGACAAAAAGTCAAGTACGATGAAGACAGAGAAGTAAGTAATCACTGCCTTAGGCAACGTGGAAGCCTTTGGTGCCCTTGACATGAACAGTCCCAGTGGTCTGGGAAGGATGGAACACGGACTAGAGTATAATGGAGAAAGAATTGCAGGGGGAAAGGTGAGGACATGTCTACAGACGACAACAGTACAGGGAAAATCGCTCGGTTCGAAAAATGTTTTGGGGATAGTTGTTCATTTGGAAAACATGATGTTTTTGTCCTACCTCCAATTGTTCATCAAATATCAGATGAAATAATTAAAGATGTGAGTATAAAAATAAAAATTCGATCATAATAGAAAAAATAGGAGAATATGTTTATAACCTTGAAAAAAGAAATTCTTTCTTAAGTAAGCCTCAAAACACAAAAGTTATGTAACAAAATATTGATTAATTTGACTATATTAAAATTAAAACTGTAGGATAAAAAACATCATCATAATGAAGTACTTGAGGAAAATATAGAGAGAGCAAGGACTAAGATCCAGATTATATAAATAAATCAACCAACGAGAAAATGACACAAATTCAGTAGAAACATAGGAGGAAATTCATTATCAGAGTTAAGATTGCCTTGTCATAAAGTGTCTGTCATGAAAGAATATAATTCACATGTCGCGTCCTAAATCCCAGTGCCTCAGAATGTGACAGTATTTGGAGACAGGGCCTTTAAAGAGGTAATTATGGTAAAATGAGGTCCTTTTACGGTTGGGCCCTAATCCAATATGACCGGTGTCCTTATAAGAAGAGGAGATGAGGGCACAGACACGCACATGCACAGAGGAAGACCATGTGAGGACACAGCAAGAAGGCGGCCGTCTGCAAGCTGGGAAGGGAGTTCTCAGCACAAACTCACCCTGCCAGAACCTTGATCTTGCACTTGTAGCCTCTAGAACTGTGAGAAAAGAAGTTTCTGTTATTTCAGCTGCCTCGTCTATGGCCTTTTGTTACACCAGCCCTAGTAAACAAATGTAGAAGCTGAGCCAGGGTGTGGTCCCAGGTCTGACCTCTAGGGCCATGTGTTTCAATATATAGCCATGCTTCTGTGATGCCAGTGGCCAAAAAGGAGCCACGATAGTCTTACACCTCAGTGGCCTCATGTGATACTTCAGAACATTGTAATGAGGATCAAAATAGATGTGAAAATGTACTTCGGACTCATCTATTCAACATGTATTTAGTTAGTGCTTACTGTATATAGCGTACTATGGAGATGTGAAGGTGAATCATACACAGTCTTTTTTAGCCCTGAAGAAAAGCTCCCAAGCATTTACGCTCTTGCAAGTTGTCATGAACATAAATGTCATATCGTAGCAGCCAATGATCATTATGTACTGCATACTGTTCTTAAGTGAGCTCATTTGCCATTGAATTTTCATTATCAATTCAGGCCATATGCAGAATAATTCTTAAATATAGAAACTACTTCCCGCCCACTCTGTCTTGGAAATGCAGCTGAAAACAAACTGCTTTCATCGCAAGCTTACAAAAACAGTGGGGAGCATTCTGATGAATGGAGAACATATTGTGACTCTAACCTTTCATTACAAACCGAGAGGGGGAGCATGCTTTAAATCATTTTAGTTTTATAAACTGTAAGACACGTAGAGAATCAAAACATCCCATTGACAAAGTGATGTCTGGGCCTCAACATCAACTTACTGCGATCTGTTTTTATTACTCATTATTGCTTAACTTGGATGCCTAGAAGATGCTTCAATCTCTTCAGATTTATTTTGCTCACTCGTAAGAGAACAATCCTTGAACAGAATTAGATTGAAGAGTTGTTGATTGCATAGCTAGGAATCAGACTCTGAACTCCAGTCTGCTTTTGATTTAGGTCAAGAGCCCAAACTCCAAAGGTGACCTTGGCCCCTTCATTGATTTTGTTGGGCGAGGTGCCATTCATTTTTCTCTTCTCTTCTTTTTTTGTTTTTTAGAAGAGAGAAACTGTGTCTCTTGTTCTTTTGATCGGATATGACGTCATCATATTTGTAAGGGAAACACCGAGGACAGCTAAGTGGCCTCCTGGTGGAAGAGTGCTGAATAATTTTATTAGGGTTTGTAGTCAGCAGAGTTCTGACCTGCATGACCGTTGCCTTCTGGTTTCATACTCGTTAACATGCTACGTTATATGGCAAAAGGGACTTGGCGGATACAATGAAGGTTACTAATCAGAGAACCTTAAAATAGGGAGATTATCCTGGATTCTCCAAGTGGGCCTAATATAATCACTTGAGCACTTAACAGACAAGAAGTATGTAGACGTGAGAGGAGGGTGCGATCAGCCATTGCTAACTTGAACGTGGAGGGTGTCAAGTGGAAAGCGTGTGAAGGAAATGAATCTACTAATGCCTTGAAAGTACCTGGAAACAGACTTTTCCCACAGAGCTTCAGAAAGGAATGCGCCTTGATTTCAGCCTTGTGAGGTCCAGCCACACCGTGATGCCTTTTGAATTCCACAATTGTGCACCAATAAATGGGAGGGGATCTTTTTAAAAAAATAAATAAATAAATAAATAAATAAATTAAATTGAAGAAATGATTTAAATTTTTTTTTTTTCCAGGAGTGGACCTTTAAGCCTTAAGTTTGTCATGATTTGTTAAGACAGCAATAGAAAACTAATATAGGGGTGGGAACAGATCGCTAAAGAAACTCTGTTGGTCACATGTCACAGTCTCAATTTTCTAATATTTTCTTTAGCAGCGGGAAGTTGCCATGCCTTTTGCCTTCAGTTTCCACTGCCTCCCCTTTCCCCGTCTGCCCCTGTGCATATACATACGCATGGCTTGCACCTTCTGTCACACACAAGGCCACCATTACTGGTTGTCAAGGCCTCCCTGTCATTGAATTAGTTGTGACACTCATATTTTGTAGTAAAATACCGACAGAGTCTGTCACAGTTTGATAAATCTGGAATAATATTCATGTGGGACTTAAATTTCTGACTTCTTATGGGTTGTCATAAAACCATGTGGGTTCATAGTAATTAACTTGGAAAAAGCAAGGAAATATGAGCTGTATTAGAATATGAAGCCCAATTTCCCTCAAAATAGCTTTTCCCACTTTCTCTGTTCCTGTTAATGATGTCACCTAATACCACCCCCACTGTTTCTGCCACTCAGGCTAGGAGTGTTGGGGTCATCTTTAATTCATCGTTCTCCTTGATGGCAGCCTCTGTCTGCTCCGCTCATTCAGTTAATCGCTAAGCCATGGGGAGTCTACCTCCTCACCGCCTATACATCCTGTAAAGATTCTCTTATCCCAAAACACGGCTCTGATTTCTCCCTCTCCGTGGTGTGCTAACCATAGTACCCCCTCGCCTGTAAATTTCACTGCCTGTTGAATCTGGTTTATGTTCCTCACCTGGCTTTTAATGCCTGAGATAACAGGGCCCTAATGAGCCCCGACGCCCACTCCGCCGCCGGGAATCAAGTCCTTTCTCGCAGCGAGTCAGCTTTCGCCACTGGGACTTGCTCATCGATCGTTCTTCTGAACATTCCCACTTCCATCTTCTGCTCCGTCCAGTCTTCAAGGCCCTTCTTAAATGTCCCTCATGCGTGAAGCTATTTCCCTTCCTCTCTCCCTCCCTCCCTCCTTCCCACCCTCCTTTCCTCCTCATTATCCTTCCCTTCCCTGCCTCCTCCTCCTTTTGTCAGATACCATCTCTCTCTTCCCTTATCCCCAAACAGCAAAACTGATTCTAAGCATCCACAGGGGTTGTTGAAAGCCAGGGTGTTACAATGAGTGTTAAAGGTGATGGTTTTACTTTTGTTGTTGTTGTAGGTTTGTTTATAATCATTTGTTGTTTTGGTGTATGTTAGGAGTGGGTTATACCTAAGATAGGATTTTGTTAGTATTTTGGGTAAGGGAGGAATTTACGCTGGTATTTGTAACATGAGAACTGTAATTATGTAGTTTTTTAGACACCTTCTGCTGGTGGGGCTGATGCTCTGTGATTCAGATTCGTTTAGATGGTATGCTGTCTCTCATTCACAATCTTATTTTAAAATGTTAAATTAACTTTGACTGAGCTTGGAGAAGAGAGTGGGTAGTGGGTATCAGGGCAGATGGGTGGTGGGTGGGGACAGGGTGTTGGGGAAGAAAAGAAAGGCATTGCTAAAATGGAAAAAAATATGTATGGAAAATATCAAGGAAAATGTGTACTATAAAATTATACCTATATCGTTTTACACAAAATTGAGTAAACACATGAACAGTGACTCAAAGGAAATAAGACTTAGAGATTATGAGTAGGAACTCAGGAGTGATGTCGTGTGGCTTGTCAAACCTTGGTTAAGTTACTGAACCTCGCCAGCCTCAGTTTCTTCATCTGTAAAATGGGGAGTTGCGTGTTTTGCGCAAGTTTTTATGTGTAAACAGGCCTGACACGAGTGAGCTCCCCAAGTGTTAGCCCTGAGGGGGAGGCCCCTCGCTACGTGCAGGATGGGTTTTGCAGCTTCATTTTTCTTCTAATTTTTACTTATTTTACCCATCTCTTTTCCATTTAATTTTGTTTGTTTTCCATCTTAGTCTGTTTTCGCTTTATGTCTTTCTGGTCCTAGTACATCAATTTATATTTCCGTGGCATATTATGAAGGATGCCAAAAAATTTCTTGACATTTCATGCTGGATTTTGCTAGAAATCATATTCTAAAGCATAGTTTCCCCCTTCCCCCACTCCGAGTTATTACTATGCTTATTTTTTTCCCTAACTATGAAGTCTCTTTTTCATGGGTTGTATGTAGTTTGTTTATTTCTTTTTCCCTTAGCCATCCTCAAGTAATAATTCTCAGGAAATTTCTTAGATGAAACCCAAAATTAGTAGTTAAATGGAAAAAAAAATTAAAGTGAGAATTATTAAAAATTGATCTGTTCATTTAAAAATCATTTTGTGTTGACTTAAGTCTAATAAATGTATTTTATTTACTAATCTTTAATTCAGACCCCAGGCTGCTTTCTGAATTCTGCTGACCTGGGTACTCATATTTGTCTAGTATTAACCCTGCACATCTAAGATTTCTAGTTTCATTTCTTCAGGGTGTCATAGAAACTTAAAGGTACTCATGAAGCAAACCGAGTGCAGACTCTATCTATATTTTTATAATTGTTTTCTACTCTTTCACAGTTGTCACAGCTATTTTGACAGCAGTTCTTGTAGTGATTGCTTTAAGGCATTAAACTTGGGTTCTGTGGACATAATTCCATTTTTGTGTTCATATTTTATTTGTTTATATCATATGTAATTAGGATAAGTGCAGTTTGTCAAAACAGTGTTTGTAATAAACCACACTGAAACTTGTAAGCATCAGTTCAACTAGTAACCAAAGTGAGTAGAGGGCACCGAAGGGCAAGCGAACAGCCATGGGTGTTCTAGCATGTGGGCATCGAGTAGAGTGGTTTACAGAGGGACGAGAGGCATCAGTGAATTCACAGAGTCTCTGAAATGGAAGTAAGTTAAGAAAGCTTCAAACACAGCTGTTCTCGCACTCTGGCATGCATCAGAATTATCTGGGCGGCTTGGGGAAACACAGGTTGGTGGACCACAACCCAGAGTCTCTGTTTCAATGGGATTGGGTGGGATTTGCAGTTCTAACAAGCTTCCAGGTGGTGCCAACTCTACTGGTCCAGGCAACACACTTTGAGGACCATTGAACCACAGCCAGTTTTGGTGGTGTGGGCGGGGACAGGTCTCTTCCAACGTTAGCATGCATAGGGAGGAAGGCCAGGTGTTATCTTTCCATCTGCCTCTACCTGTCCACCTTCTGGCAGATAGGCATTAGGTTTTCTGTTACTCTTGGTTCTTATGCTATTGTATTAAAAATTTATATATATATTTTCAGTATCTAACTAGGAACTTTATTTGGAATTTGAGAGAGGATGCAGTGAGTCTTTTAAAGTCTGCATGTTCATTATTTTTTGCTTCCTTGAGAAAAATAAAACTCCTCTTTAGATGTTTCCACCTTGCTGGGCATGCTGTTTTCAAATCACATGTCCCCTAGTGTCCTCACAGAAGAAAAAAACCCTATTTCTGTCTGTCAGAAAACATGTGTTTGGAGATAGCTTGGCAGCTGCAGGGTGGAAAGGCAGAAATGTGGGTGTGTTGTCAGCAAGCTGAAGACTTTGACGAAGAGACAGATGATCTGATTGCTCTGTAATCTCCCTTTCAGAACTGGCTGACGGAGCTGGAGATTTTTGCTATAATCTTCTCAGCTGCCATCCATGACTATGAGCACACCGGAACCACCAACAATTTCCACATTCAGACCCGGTGAGGACGTTGAAGTGTTTGGAGAAGAGGCAAGAGGGGGCAGGGGTAGAGTTTTATAAGCTGGAAGAGTGTAGTCACCTTTCTCTTGCATGTTTGCTTTATTTTGAGTTTCTGAAAAAAATGAACTTTTAAACAAAAGATCAGCCTGGTCAGCTTCGATCAAGAAGCCATCTGCTCCTAATTCTCATATTTTATTCACATCTAATCTGGAAGTTTTTTTTTCCTATACTAACGCTAGCTATTTGTTATTTATGTATATACTATGCGTACTCTACCTATTTTTAATGGAGATGGAACGGTTTATGTAGAGGTGAGGATGGGCAAAGATTGGAGTGTTTCTGTTGACATAAACAATAACCGAGCCTTCTTACCCTCTGATCTCTGGGATTCTGGCGATGCTCTTGTCCTTCTCCCTGATTCATCTGTGTTTTGCTCAGTGTTTGCATCCCTCCCTGGCACAGGGCTTAAGGAGCTAGGTTGTCTCATGTAGGCCACTTTCACCGTGGGCTACCTATGCACCCTCCCTCATGAATTGCACAGGTAAATGCCGACTTCTGCGGGAAGGGTATTAATTATGGGTCCAAGTGCTCTACTCTGAACCTCTGGACTGTAGCAGACAGCTCCAATCAGTTTGGTACTTTTTCTTACTAGCTGCAGATGTTAATATTCCTCTCAGCACAGAATTCCAGGCGAGCAGTACCAATGGTTATTTCCATTTAAGATGAAACCTTGCCTGCCCTCTCCTGCACTAAGAACTTATTTTCTCTTAAGACAATGATGTGGAACTGGAGAGAATCTGACAGATTCTCTCAGGGTTAACTGGGCTTTGACATCGGAACCAAAAGAAGCTAGTGTTTGGGGAGAGGTGGGGAGGCAAAGAGAAAGCATACAGTGGAGAGAGGCGAGAGTTTAGCACTAAATAAATACTCGCTGATTTCACTTGAAAAAGCAGGTGCACACTTCAGATCGGTTCGTGTTCATAAATCAATCCACATGTATTTAATGAACCCAACACTTAATTATGGCGGACACAAAAGAAGATGATATCGTCCGATCTGTGTTCAGAAGGGGAAGTTCAATAGAATGAAAGCTGACAAAAGGATGGAAGCCATTCTCTTCATTTACTGCCTCCTCCCTCCTCACAGAGCGTAGTCTCAGCGGCTGCAAAACAGCCTTTTGTAGTTCTGTTGCAAGGTCCTTAAACACAGGGAGTTCCACAGAGCAGCTTTGTGGAGTGGATAACCGCGAGTGGATCTTTGGCTCTGAGGACAGAGACGGCGGTGAACAGCACCCACTGAGGAAGAGAAGTGGGGGGCCAACTGTTCATGGATCTTGGCTAGACACCAACATCAGAACCCCATCGCCATGCAGAGGAAATGGCTTAATTACAGGAATTTGAAAATGGCTTAATGTCACACAATACACAAATTGGTGCCTTACTTGGCTAACAGGTATTAGATCAGATCTTTCACCTCAAAATTTGCATGTTTTGTGCTCTCACCATAGGAGTGGGTTTCAGTGAGGCTTGGTTTACCATGAAATATAAACACTGGCCTTCTTTAACAGAGCTTTAAAGCATCTTAGTCTGTGTGCTCCCCATTCAGAAAACTAAGTCTGCGACCAAGTTCTTTGTTTTTTGATGGTATGTTAAGTCTAACACTTTAAAAGCATGCTAGACAAATTCCAAAATTTGGCCAATGACAAACAGAAGTTATCTTGGGGAGGCACGGCCCAGCTGTCAGGCGATCTCACCCCCATTCCAGCCCTGACACTTAGCCACCATGGGGCTCTTTACATCCCTGAGACTCACTTTACATCCCTGGGACTCATCTTCCTTGATGAAAAACAAATAAGATGTAATAATTTAGGATTTCACTAAATTAAGCATATTGAAATGGTATACAGCTTTGTGTTTGGTGTCATTCAGCTGTGGAATGGTCTTTGTGAAAGTGACTAACAATTGTCACGTAATTTTTATATTCTTTACTCTCAATTTTCCATGTATTGCTTCTATATGGCAAAAGTTTAAGATTAAGATACTACCAGAGGAACTTGCAAACTGTACTTGCCAGGCGGCATGTGTTCAGAGAATTATAACTAAAATAAATTCTTTTATTGAGTAAAAATTAAATTGTTCCAGAAAATATAAGGAAGTTTGATTTGACCCAAATTTAAAGAAAAATTACCTTTGCAACTAGTACAGATAATTGAGATCTGATTTAAAAAGTTTTCAGAGAGTTCTGTGGTTAGATATCACATATTTTACCTCTACATAGTGATATTAAAATGCCCTACATATATCGATTGATAATTTGCAGTGTTTTCGCTTTTTGGTTAATATGAATGGCATGGAGGTAAAGATAATGGCTAAACACAGGAAAAAGAGATGATACCTTCTAGCTTGAGAGAGTTACCTGAAAAATCTCAACCATTTAACATCCTAAATTACTTCGCTTGGCTTCCTGTTCAGGTCCGACCCAGCTATTCTGTACAATGATAGGTCTGTATTGGAAAATCACCATTTAAGTGCAGCTTATCGGCTTCTTCAAGAGGATGAAGAAATGAATATTTTGATCAACCTCTCAAAGGATGACTGGAGGTAAGTATGAGACAAGGGAGAGATCTGGAGGCCAGGAAAGGAACTGTGAGGAGAGATGAAGTATGCTGCTTTGAAGAAATCCATTAACTGAAAGATAACATGTTAGTATTCTGTGTCTTTGAGGGAAAACAGTTTTAATATCCAACATATTCTGTTGGACACATAAGTGCATTTGACTCTTTAGGACCTTTGTAAATTAATGTTTTACCAGGTATTTACCTTATTTCGAAGTGGAATAATATGGAATTCCACTTTCAATAAGCCAGATTAGCTGCTAATAAACCAATCCTCTTGCAAATAACAACTATAAACTATAGACAAAATACAAACGAACACAGACAACCACCAATGATTTGAGGGCTCTAGAGAAGGAACAAAATCAGACAAGTTTTGAAGTGGTGTCAATAGAGGAAAATATGCTTGTAATAAAATGCAGTAAAATTTAAGCAGTGAAATCAAACTATAAACAAGAACAAATAAAAATTTTAGAACTGAAAAATATTTAAATTGAAAATTTACTGCATTGGCTTAGTAGCACGTTGAAGAAGACAGGATAATCAGTTCAGAAAATATCAATCAGTATTATCCAATTTGAAGAAGTAGGAGAAAAAGATTTTTAAAAATGAGCAGCTTAGGAACCTGTGAGACAATTTCAGGTGGTCAAACATAAGGACAGTTGGAGTCTCAGAAAGAGAAGACAGAGAGAATGGGGCAAAAGAAATATTTGAAGAAATAATAGTTGGAAACTTACCAAATATGGTGAAAGATATATATTTATAGATTAAAGAAGCTCAGCAAACGTAAAACAGGACAAATTCAAAGAAAAACACACCTACACACTTAGTCAAACTACCAAGAGTCAAAGATAAAATTAGAGAAAAATGACACATTATATTCAGGGGAATAATTTGAATTACAGTAGGTTTTTCATCAGAAGTCATGGAGGACAGAAGACAATGGAATAACACCTTTAAAGTGCTAAAAGAAAAAAATGTTGATACAAAATGCTACATCCTGTGAAAATATTCTTAAATAATGAAGATGTCATAACATTATTTTCAAATAATGGAAAAACACAGAACTTTATCACTAACAGAGCTGCATTATGAAAAATGATAAAGTTCTTTAGGTAGAAGTAAACTACTATAATAAATTTATAATAAATCTCTTTCTATATATGTGTATATCCAATTGTTTCTGTTTCTCTGGGGAAATCTAATACATAGGATTTATCCCAGGAATGCAAGTTTAGTTCAGCATTTATATTAAAACAAACAAACAAACAAACAAACAAAAAAAAAACAAAAAAAACCCCAGAAAGCATATGGTCATTTCAATAGATGCATAAAAAGCATTTGACAAAATTCGACACTCATTCATGATAAAAATTCTCAGCAAACTAGAAACAGAAGAGAATGACCTCAACTTGATAAAAGAACCCTGTGAGAAGCCACGGTCTAATGTCATGTTTTAGTGAAAAACTGAAAGCTTTTTCCCAAGATTGGGAACAAGACAATACCTGATCTTATCTCATCAATACTGTAAGATGTCTATATTAGCCAATGACTGGATTACCTAAGTAGACTATCCTAAGAATCTGTAAAGAAGCTGCTAGAACTGATAACAAATCTTACAAGGTTACAGAATATAAGGTTAATGTACAAATATATATACAGTTGACCTTTGAATAATGTGGGTTTAAACTGTGTAGGTCCACTTACATGTACTTTTTTCAATAAATACTGTAAATGTATTTTCCTTATTTTCTTAATAACATTTTCTTTAGTTTACTTCATTATAAGAATTGAGTATATAATACATATATATAAAATGTGTTACTTGACTATGTTATTGGTAAGACTTCTGGTCAACTGTAGGCTATTAGTAGTTAAGTTTTTGCAGAGTCAAAAGTAATATGCAGATTTTACATTGTTGGGAGGGGGTGGTGGTGCTCCTAACCCTTGCATTGTTCAAGAGTCAACTGTATATAGACGAACAGCAAACTACTAGAAAATGAAATAAAAAGTATTTTACAATAGCAACAAAAATATGCAATACCTTGTAGTAACTTTAAAAAACAAGTATAACTCTTTTTCACCAAAAGACTACAGAACATTGCTGATTAAAGAAGACCTAAGTGAATTGAGAGCTGTACTGTTGTCATGTAGTGGAATGCTCAGTATTGTAAAGATGGCAAGTCTTCCCAAATATCTATAGATTCAGCAAAACCTCGATCAAAATTCCAGCAGAATCATGTTGAAATTGGAAGGTTATTCTAAGCTTTATATAGTAATGCAAACAAGACAATCTTAAATAAGAACAAAGTTAAAAAAATCCACACTACCTGATGTCAAAACATACTATAAAGCTACAGTAATCAAAACAGTGTTTTTTTAGTGAAAGGACAGATATATAGATCCATGGAACAGAATTGAGAGTTCATAAATTGATTCATCATTGATATATGACAAAGGGGCCAACGTAGTTCAGTGGGGAAATAAAAGTCTATTGAACAAATTGTGTGGAACAAATGGATATCCGTATAGAAAAAAAAAATAACTTTGACACTTACCTCATACCATACTCAAAAGTTAATTCAAAACTGATTATAGACCCAAATGTAATAGCTTAAAATAGTAAGACTTCTGGAAGAAAATAAAGCAGTCTTTGGAGTAGGTGGAGTTTTCTCAGATAGGATCCAAAAAGCATGAAACATTAAAAAAAATTGATAAATTATACTTTATCAAAGTTAAAATCTTTTGCTCTTTGTTAAGACAGGGTAAAAAAGAAAAAGGCAAGCCAAGAAGTGGGAAAAATTATTCACTGCATGTGTATCTTACACAGGATCTGTATCTAGAATATATAAAGTACTTTTATAATTCAATAATAAGACAAATCACCCACTTTTAAAAAGTGAAAGGTTCTAAACAGACATCTCCCTGAAAAAGGTTATACAAATGCCCTATAAATAGATGAAAAGTTGCCTGATATCATTAGTTATAAAAGAAATACAAATTGAAACCACAAGGAGATTTCCTTCATATGCATTCCTTAGAATGGCTGAAATTAAAGACTGGCGGTAGTAGAGAAGACAAACATATAGAAAAACAAACTTTCATACACTGATGATGAAAATGTAAAGTGAAACAACCACTTTGAACAATCTTTCACAGTTCTTCTAAACACTGAGTTATCTTATAAACCTACCATTCTAATCCTAGGTATTTACCCGAGAGGTACGAAACACCTATGCACACACAGACTTGTATATGAATAATCATCACAGCTTTACTCCTAAGAGCTCCAAACTAGAATCTAATAACCCAAATGTTCATTAGCTGTTGAATGGATAATTGGGTACTCACACAACAGAATACCACTTAGCGCTATATGTGTGTACCTACATATATCTGCATACACATATGTCTGCTTTATGTCTCTAGATTATTTGCATTTTTTAGTTATGTGTGTGCGTGCGTGTGTGTGTGTGTGTGTGTGTGTGTGTGTGTATAATAAAACTAGAAAATGCAAATGATCTAGAGACATAAAGCATATCAAAAGCTGCCTGGGGCCAGTTGGTTTGAAGTTGGGTTGAACTGCAAAGGGGTTGGAGGGTGGTGGAAATGTTCCGTATCAGACTGTGGTAGTGTTTTCAAAAGCTTAAGCCTAGTTAACTGGTTAGACTCATTGACTTGTGCAGCTTATCTGGAAACAGTTAATTCCATGTAATTCTATCGCAGTGAGGTTGTTGGAGATGGTCGGTTTTAGAGTTGAAACACCTATATCCAAAGTGTAGTATGGATTATCGGTCTGCCTCAGATTATTTTCAAATTAATTTTTTTCTAAAACTTTAAATTCAGTTGAGAAAGGAATGCTTTACTACACTTTCACCTTCGTTAGAATTTTTCCCGAGTTAATTTTCCAAATGATATTTTCATTCTACGTGTTATATTCCTCATAAATGATTTTCTTAATCCTTAACCTTCATTAACTCTTCATTAAAAAAGCCCGTCTAAAAGGCTCAAGTTAGATTAGAAATACCATAACTAATTACCTGATTTTGATTAGAAGTGGCAAAAACTGAACTAATTTTTACTTTCCATTTATTTTCATCCTTTTTTCTCCATGGGTGTCCCCCCGAAAGGGAATTTCGGACCTTGGTAATTGAGATGGTGATGGCCACCGATATGTCCTGTCATTTCCAACAAATCAAAGCGATGAAAACTGCTCTGCAGCAGCCAGAAGCGTGAGTGTGCCTGCCACATCCTGTGTTTTCATAGGTGTTTGAGCTAGTACTTGTCCACATCATTGCACTTGGAAAGCGTGCCTTCTTCAGAGAACTTTATTGAACGGTCTCATAAACTGCGGGTATTTAGAGGAGAGAGCATGAAACTTGTACAAATAGATTCTCTTCAGGGTTGAAATAAAGAATAGGGCCAGTAACAATTTGCTCTAATTGGAATTTAAAATATTTCCCTGTGGGAAACTAAATTATCAAAGATCTGCTCCATGCAGAGGCCACACATGAAAGTCAGCGAGTGACTCTTGGTTCTTGCTATCTTTCTGAATGATGCAGTCATTCCAGAAATAGTTTTGAGTAGTTTTGGAGGTGTCCAGCTCAATAAGCATGGAGACCAAGCTGATGAATATCCCAGGTGTAGGATAAAATGATGCTTTGTCCCCAGGTCAGCTGAAGTGGGGTTTTAGATGAGATTAAAAAAATGAATGCTTTTTAAAAACCCTTATTGAAGTTCCAAAAGTTTGGTCATCATACATTTGGGTCCTTTGCGTTTACAGAATTGAGAAGCCAAAAGCATTATCCCTGATGTTGCACACAGCAGACATTAGCCATCCAGCAAAAGCATGGGATCTCCATCATCGCTGGACCATGTCACTCCTGGAGGAATTCTTTAGACAGGTACCTTGTGGTCATGCTTCCCCTCAGGGCTGTCATCGCTGTACATTTTCTGAATTTTATGTTTCAACAATGCTATGATAAGAACTACTGAGATTATAATAATTATCTTTGGAGAGAGAGGGTTCCCAGCTTTTTGTTTCTGCCTTCTGGTCATGTAATGCTTGAGTTTTACTTAATTTCCGATTCTCAGAACATTATGGTGGTTCTATCCTATGAACTTCCAGTTAAAAAGGAAAACCATTTCCTTGTGGCAGTCTTTTGTCAAAATGTCATCTGAGGAGCGCTTTTATTTATTGTTCTAATGGGTTGACCCAATGATGGCAACTTTGGCATTGCCCTGTGGGATCAAGATGTTAATCTTTAACTCACGTTTCTGTTATAACTGGTTGGGTTGTTTCTTTCAAACTGGCAAGCCACATTGTGAAGTCCCAATGCCGGATGTGGCAGCGTGGAGTCAGGAAACCACTAGAAGCTACTCTTCCATTACATTCAAAGTTACTTCAGTCTAAGACACAGGGCTGTGTCCTCTACAAGAACATCCAGAGTCTTTAAATATTCTACATTTCTTTCATCCGTAGTACATATCAACACATGCATATACACAAGCCCCCTTAAACTGTTATGTGAATACACCAACAGGTACCTGTGGATGCAAAAGGGGTTCTATGGAAAGTAATCTCACAGGGTGATCTGATCATAAGTCCCTAACTAGGCAGGTCATGGTGGGTAGTCATGTCCCAGGCATAAAACTTCTTTAGTGAAATTTTATCTTCGCTTTAAGTAAGCCCCGTCCATTGTTTCTGTGCATCTAGGTTAACATACCTCTGAAATGCCTCTTTTCAGACCTCTCAACTTTCAAGAGAGCACATAATCCCCACCTTGCTTTTCTCCACCTTCATGTAACCTTCCTTAGTTCAAAATGCATAGAAGGAGCTGCAAACTGCTATTCTAGGAACCATTTTTCGCAGTCAGTTGGGACCTTGCTTCCTCTGTTTGGCTCAAATAAATTCTCTACAGGTTTGAATGTTCTTACATTGACATACCTTATTCAGTACATGGCTATTTCATCCTTGCAAAGTCATTGCTTGGCCTCACAGTGTAATTCCCAAGGGGAACCCAATGGTGTGTGAGGAACTAGGGCTGTATGGGTGTGGCTCTATTGTATATACAAGAATGACTCTGCAAATTCATCCTTAATTGAGGGCTAATTTTGAGCTATTTTTTCCAGAAGCTAGTTTTTGAATATTAATGAGAACATTTTCTCCAAATATTCATTCCCCTTATCATATGCTTTTGCAGTAACACTCCTACAGGTAAGAGTATGTCATCTGCAGCCAAAGGCAGATCGTAGCTAACTCATAAGTTGGAGGTATTGAAATGATGTTTTCTTTTTCATTGTGAGAGAGTGACTATGAGAAATTACTTAAATATGTGAACATTTTTTTCCCATAAAGGGAACCTCATTTGCATACACATTTGCTCAAATTGAATGTAAATGTTCTAGAGGCAAAGTGAAAAGAACCATGTTGAATTCCTGGCGTATTGGGAATGGAATGTTAGCTCCCCGGACTGGAATGTTTTTTGGTAATTATGATTCAGTGAATTATTTTTGTTGATTTACTATTTTAACCCAGATGTCATAAGCCATTGTAAGTAAGCCATGTAGGAGAAATTTTGCCTCAGCTCTTAACTATAGATTTTAAATCAGACAGTTCGAATGGGAAATCTCAATGGGACTGTAGAGTCTTTGGAAAAATTACATTTGGAAGTTGGGTTATATTTCAAAATAAGGGCATAGCTTCAATGCCAATACCGGCCCTTCTATGCTTTGCTAAAAAAGTTAGTTACATCTTTAGTTTTATAACCGTATTTTACAAACCCAAGCCACTGCCCCAGGGTGTTTTTCAATGAAATAGTGACTTAAAGAGGTACAAGTTTGTCTTTTTGGTAAATACATGTTGTAAAAGTCTTCAAGTTCATCTCCATTGTATTGCAGTATACTTTTGTATTTTGCAAACTCCTCCTGCATTTCCTTTAAGTTCCTCTGTCTGTGGTTATTTTTCCATTTTTATTTCTCATTTCATATATTAGTGTTTTTTTCTCTTATCTATGAAATTGTTTTATTATTTTATTGTTTGTTTTTTATTTTATAGTGCCTTAATTGGTGTTTTCATTCTTATTAATTCATTTCTTCTGCTTGAGTTTATTTTGTTATTTTGCTAACTCCCTGAGTTGGATGCTCAATTCATTTACTTTTATTCTAGCTGTTTAATATTAGAAAATATAAGACTAAGAGTTTGTCTTTTTCTTGTCATGAATCTCAGAGATTTTGATGTTCAGTGTGTTCATAATCATTCTTTTCCAAATATTCTTTAATTTTGGTGTAGATTTTCTTTTACCCAAGAGTTGCTTCAGGTGGAGGTGTTTGTTTATATAATTTTCCGGTAATAGGTTCCTTTGCTTTCTAGTTTTGTAATTAGTTTGTGGTTTGTTGAAATTTGGTCAAATAATTTTTTCATCGTTTGGATGTTACTGTGAAATTCATTTGTCACCTACTGTATAATCAATGTTTGTGAATGTTCATAGCTCTTGAAAAGTAGATATATTTCCAACTTACATAGTATAGTATTTAAAGGACACCATACATTTACCTTATTAATTATGTCATTTAGGTATTTTATATATTATTTTTCAAAATTTGATCTATCATGGTTGAAAATATTGACCTTTTTAGTAAAGAGGAAACTGTATGAATAATGAGACAAGGGCCAGTAGTTATGGATTCAAAATATATCGGCGTCACCTGTAGAAGTACATTTTTTCATAATTTCTGCACATTTTCTTTATAATTCATAAATGTGTATATCCTCAAAAGGGAATTCAATGACCACTATTTTAAAATAGGCTTTTAATATTTGACTGTACTCAGCTCAATTAAATCCAAAGGCTGCACGTGATATGTAGCTGTGGGTATATGCAAGTCCATGGGATAGGAAGTTGTTTAATATTACTTTTTCAGTAATAAAATCCACATTAATGCTTACATCTTAATAGTCAAGAGGTTAGTGCTCACCTCTTCTCAACCAACCCCATGAAAATATACCAGTAAAACAACTGTATCCCCGCTTGGTGGGGAATAAGAGTGGGTTTTATTTGTTTTGGCTGAGCTGTCCCACCACCCCATCCGCACAACCACAACTTACGTTATATTCTTTCCTCTCTTCATCTTGCTCAAGTGGAAATAGCTCAGGCGTAAATCATTTTGATCACACCCCTTGAGGGATGGAGCAGCCCTCAGCAAGGCATGCTCAGAAGCGGAGGAGCCATTATGCCCCATGGGGTGTCTGTACCAAGAAGGGTGCAGAAGGAGCCAACCCGCTTCAGGACTGTTCCTGAGACCCTTAAGTGTCTCCAGGGCACACTGTGACCCCACGGGTCAGCTTCCTCAGGCGCCTACTCCTTTTCTTTCCTTTCCATAGATGTTAGATGTGTGTGCGAACTCTCATCTTTTCTCTTTGGTACCCACCTTGGAAAGTAAAAGCATTTGGTTTTTGAACCCGGCTTGGTTTTTGAGCATGGTTGATGTTACTCTTTATTTACTATAAATTTATTGTTGACATGTATTATAATCAGTGTATTCAATGTAACAAATTCACTAAATGTTTCTACATCTTGTCTTAAATATTAGAGACACCAATTGGGAAATAATCATAGTTATTTCTATTTACTTACATGCATTTTCTCATTTAATCCTCCTCATAACTTGATCAGGTAGAGATCATTATCCCACATTTTCACAGAGATCATCAAACTGAAATGTAGAAAGAGAAAATAAACTTCCCATGGTCACACAGCTAGTAGGGGAAAGGCCAAGGTCAAGCCCAAGTCAGTCACCATTAACGTTAGCGGATTCTTTCTTCATTAAACGAATCAGCGAAGCGTCACTGCTGTTAAGAAACATCACGTATGTTTCCTTTCCTCTGGGTGTGTGACCGAAGTGTTCAGCTTCTAGTTCAGATTTTTGAAAACCGTCTTCATTATTTAGACTTTGCACAGCACTTGCTTATTATAGCCACACTCTTTGGTGAGTTTGAGAATACACTGGCCAGAGAATCCTGTTTCATTATTATCTAACTCAACATACGCAAGCAGTTATTTACTACTCTGCTTCTTGTTTGGTCCACTTTTCATTACGATCTGAGCCCTGCAGTTAAGAACCCAAAAGCACTTTCTCCAGTATATGGTTTCAGGTAGCAGAAGCAGAAGAAATTCAAATTGAGCCACTTTGAATTTGTGCCTTGAACACAGCCTACAGCTGGGAAGCGTTCATTGGCTCAAGAAAGGCCACAGGTCAATGCCAGACACTGGAGAACACACAGGCCTTCTGATTGCAGTGTTGTCTATAGGCCACAGGATACACTGTTTTCCTTTCTTTCCTCAGGGGACCTGTTGCTGCCTAATGAGGCTTTCTATACAACAGCACGTGCCTCTGCAGTTGGCTGGAATGATTGTACCCCAGAGGGCTTCAGCCTCCCGGTGTCCTTTATGCAACGACACAGGCCCCATAAGGACTTATTGTGTGATGTAATTATGATAATTAAAATAAAGGCCAGTGGCCTTTGTGGCAGCTAAAGTTGCTAAATAAAATCTGAGTGGCTCAGCCTAGTATTCTTAATTTACTCTCATCTCCTGTTTTTCTAGGGTGACAGAGAAGCAGAGCTGGGGCTGCCTTTTTCTCCTCTATGTGACCGAAAGTCGACCATGGTTGCCCAGTCCCAAGTAGGTACGTGTTTGCCAACCCTTTGGATGGAAGGCAAAACCAGAGGGGTGTGTCTGGAAGTAAGCTCCAGTGCTCCCAGTGATTCTCTGGCTTGGAACCAGGCTCTATTGTGCTGTGTTGTGCTCCTGGTTTTGGCTTGAGGGGTTGATGGAGCCACTCTCTCCATCCTTCTCCTTAGAATGTGGCTGGTTCATGGGAAGATTAGACAGGGACACTCCGCTGTCTTTAGCATTTTCTGCCAAGAGAAAAAAAGGCCTTGACTTTCCAAGGCAATGACAAGAATCAGTGGCAGGAAGCCCATTCTATTTCAGCCGATTCGTTCTGCGTGCGATATTGGAAGTCTCCATCGCATTTTTCCTCAATGCTGCTTCCTGTAGCCATTTGCGGAACAGCCCCACTTCCTGAATGACCCTACATCCAGGAACGGCTCTTTAAAAATGTTTTCTTCCTTCCTTCCTTCCTTCCTTCCTTCCTTCCTTCCTTCCTTCCTTCCTTCCTTCCTTCCTTCCTTCCTTCTTTCTTTTTTGGTGTTTGACCTCCCTCCCTCCCTCCCTCCCTTCCTTCCTTCCTTCCTTCTTCCTTAAAAACTGTTTAGTATCTCTATTTTTTTGGTAAAGATAACTTACACTGCTAATAACTTTTACACCATAATATATATATTACAAAAATCCTCAGCTGTGAGAGTACTAGTATCATAAGTAAATTAAATATCATCAGTGCTCTCCACCTTAGAAGAGTCTGAAATCATTCAACAAATCAATTCAACATTTTTTTTCTACTTGTGTTTTGAGCACTTACTCATTTTTTCCGTAATAATCTATTAAGCCCCTGTTAGATGTAGGACACTGCTAGGCACTGTAATAGACATTATTAAAAAAAAAAAAAAAACAAAGACAAAGTATACCTGGCATTTGCTCTCAAAGACGTTGAACCAGTATTGATTGGGTGGTGGTCAAGATGTTATGAAACAAAATTTTTTAGATGCTAAGGTAGAATTTTATACCTGGTATAATTAGGTACAGACAGAGCATATGAACTGTTAGACCCAGAAAGACTTGTTGAGGGGTGATATTTGAGTTGAGTCCTGTGAGATAAGTAAGCAGCGGCTAGGTAAATGGTGATATGTGTTAGAGGTATGTTAGGGATGGCTGGAAGGGCATTTCAGACAAGGGATTAGCATATATTAAGCAGGGAAATGTAAAACAATCAAGTATAGTCAGGGAATTACAAACAGTTCCATATGGCTGGCAGAATGGGTAAGGAGTAGAATGGAGTGAGGGACATGTTTGGAAAAAAAAAATCAGTTCCTTATTACATATTGCATTAAGAATAGTATGTGCTTTATACTTTCCTTTAGGAAATGAGGGCATATCTAAAGAATTTTAAGTAAGGCTAGAATCTATATATGAATTGATGTTTTAGAATAAGAGTCAGCAAACTATAGCCTATGGACTAAATCTGGCCTACTGCTTGGTCTTGTAAATAAAGTTTTATTACAACACAGCTATGTTCATTCATTTGTATATTGTTGATGGCTGCTTTTGAACTACAGTGGCAGAGATGAGGAATTGTGATATGGCCCACAAAACCTAAAATATTTACTATGTGGTCCTTTATAGAAACAGTTTGCCAGTGCCTGTCTTAGAAAGATTTCTCTGTCTGTACCATGGAGGATGAATTGGAGAGTTTCGTGTAAGGCTAGAGGCAAGGAGACCAGCTGGTTTCCTGTAATCCTGTAGGATTACAGGAAAGAGATGATGACCATCGGAGATAAGGTAGTACAGAGACTGTCCAGGAGAGAGATGGCACACAAGATATTAAGAATCTGGCTGTATACAAAACTAAAGTAAAGGCCGCAATCTAGATTAAATGGATGCGCTGTTGGGCAATTTTTAGGGCTGGAGGAAAGCTGGTGAGTTAGTTCTGGTTTGGACATGTTGAGTTTAACTTATAAGAAAAAAAGGTGAAAATAGTGTCATCAAATGCTTCAGTTTCAGCTTAAAATTATACTGCAATTAACTACAATTCAAATTTGGCTATCAGTGTTTCCTTATCAGGATGCTATTGATATTTGATTGGGACAATTCTTGTTTTGCCAATTACATTATTGGGCTTGTAGCATTCTTCACTACCAGGCATTAAATGCCAGTATCACCTCCACCTCAGCCATTGTGAAAACCAAAAAAGCATTCGTAATTTCCAAATGCTGGTAGCATTTCCTTTGATTGGTATTTCATTTCCTTCCAATTTTCACACGGCTGCATAATGAATTACCACCAGATCATATATTTTCTCCTGACGTGTCACAGAATACTCGGATATTTTCGAGCTGTTGAGACAGTCACTCTAGCCCAACATCAGGTATCTCCCCAGCATGGCGAGATAAGGTACCGTTCCCTCTCCCAGTTTCCAGCTCTGTTCCTTTCAACTCTGTTTGCCCTCCCCCATTCAGATGTGTCCTCCTGTACCTCAAGCTCAGCAGATCTGAGACTGAGCCCCATCGCCTTTCTCCCCAGCCACGTGCTCCCCCGTCGTCCCTGTTGATGTTCTGCCTTGCTGTTGGACGTCTCTGACAGATCCCACTTAGACACACAGCACCGCTTCTTGCTGTGCCCCATCTGCGCCTCTATTGCGTTTCGACTCCCAGTAGCACTGGATCCTGCCTTCCTTACCTTTCCTCTGAGCTACCGCAACTTCTAAAATGATTTTCCCAGCCTCAGCCCCTCCTGCCTTTCTCCCTTCCTGTCTGTCTTGCCAGATTAATTTCCCTAACAAAATATTTAAAAATCTTACTTTGATGCTGCTCAAAGATCTCAAGGGGCTTCTAGTGTCCATCTAAGTTCCATCCCTGAAGCCCAATACTTAGCTTCCCTCCCTGAGCTGATGCCCTTCCCAGGCTTTTTTCTACTGGACTCCAGAAGAATCCCTAAGCCCTAGTCATTCCTCAGACACTTTCCCCATCCTTGTCACTTTGCTTATTTTACCCACTTTCCTGAGAGTGAATAGCCTTAGGGCTCAGCTCAAACCCTGCAAGGTCCATAAAGCTGTTTGCAGCCCTGTTAGTGGGAGGGGCAATATCCTCCCTCCCTTACCTTGCCAGGGACCTTTATTTGGGTTTGCCTTTGGCCCTCTCCATGTACTCTAGGAGTCATTTTATTGTGTGTGCTCATTTCATCTCTCCTGTAAATTCCTAAGAACAGGCAGTTTATGTCATACATCTTAGTCGTTTATGCAATGCCTATCATAGCGTTTGTTGCATAGTGGATGCTGAATTTGTTGCATAGTGGAAGTGTTTTTTAAGCACTTTATTGAACTATCTACTAAAAAGTCATAGGAAAATTGTGTAGGAGAAATGGAGCGGACTCATGATATTCAAATCGAGGAATATATTAAATAAATAAAACTAACCTACCCTCTCCTAATTTGATCTGGAGCCCCTATGTAGATGAATTTTAAAAGATAAGACTCATCAGTTTCCATGGCGAAGTATGGAAGGGCCCAAGTTAGCGTGTGCTTTCTCTGAAGTGTTGCTATTCCTCTGCAGGTTTTATTGATTTCATCGTGGAGCCCACCTTCACCGTGCTCACGGACATGACTGAGAAGATTGTGAGTCCGTTAATTGATGAAACTTCCCAAACTGCTGGGACTGGACAGAGGCGTTCAAGGTCAGTGGAGAAGCTCTAAGGCTGGAGATCAGGTTGGCCTCCATGAGAATAGAATTCATCTTTTGGAAGGGATGGAGGTGGTATTTCATAATGATGTTTGCTCTATCTTCTTCTTGTAAGAGAGATGTCTGCCTCTTACTTTTCTCAGAGGAATTGAAGTTATATTATTTATACTCTCCGGGATGGCCTATAAGGGGTGACCAAGGTCTAAATCATGACTAGCAGGTACCCAGTATAGGCTCCCCATACCCCACATGCCCATTTTCTCATTTGGTGCCTTTGCTCATGGCAAGGTTAAACATCCTGATCCCATTACTTATTGGCTATGCCATCTTGGGCAAGTTGCCTCAGTTTCCCTCTCTGAGAAAATGTGGATTATAAAACATATAGATTGTGAAGAAGATTAAATGAAAATTTCAATCTATGTAAAGCCCTTATAACAAGGTCCAGCACAGAAGCAGTGCCAGCTACAGCGAAGCTCACAGTCTTGATTTGTAGTACTGCTGATGGTTACTCTACACTACACCTCTCCTCCTCATCCGTGCAAAACCTTGGGCTTCATCATAAAGGAGAGAGGGGAGAAATGGAACGAATAGGGAAAAGAAGAGAAAAGCAAGAGAAGGAGTAAGTAGAGAGAAGAGAAGGCGAGAGCAATGTTAGGACAGTGGGACCCCAGGGACGTGCCGGGCGATGGACCCAGCAAGGCTGCTAATAAGGACCAGAGCCGCTGCCTGAGTCCCACAGCCCATGGCTCTGCAAACGCTGGGCTGAAACGTACTCTGCTTATCCGTCAGCCGTAGGTGTTATTCCGTGGCTTTGCATTTATGCTAGTCACTGCTTTAGCCACCTGGAATGTGTGATAACTTTTCTTTAAAGTTACCCAGAAAGATGGCATTTTCTAAATTGGCAAAGTCACCCATCTTTAAAGCATAAAGTAATATTGATATTAAAAAAAGATCTCTTGCATGACTGGTCTTCAACCTGTCTTGCCTCTCTACCTTCCCCAAGGAACATAAAGAATCACCTTAGCCTGGCCTTGGGGATCCCGGGATCAGAGGCACCTGAGTAAAAGGGGGGCAGGGCTGCAGAGAAAGAGGACTGAAGGGCAGGTAACTTGGAATAGTGGGCAGTGTGGAAGCAGGTGGATGACTGTGGAACCAGGTTGAAGCCCGGGTTCAAATTAATTAATTTCAGAAAGTCGAAGACAGAAAATTCACGTAGGGGATTCTAGTCATATTGAAGAAGAGGATACCAATCAACAAAGAAGAAATATGGGGAATATTAATACTCGGGAGACAGAAATGGTGATTTTTTTTCCTGCTGGAAATACAGAATTTCCCACCTGTCACATATGGAAAATAAGAATTACAAACCTTAGGACCCAGGAATTTTGTGGCCGTAACTGATGAGTGCTAACCCCTTCTTGTTTGGGCTTGTGCTTGGGCATACATTGTCCAGACACTAACCCTCCTTTCTGGTGTCATTTTTTTTGTGTCCTCTAGTTTGAACAGTATCAGTTCGACGGAAGCAAAGCGATCGGGTGTCAAGAGCGCCGGCTCAGAAGGAAACGCCCCGATCAACAATTCCGTCATCCCTGTTGACTACAAGAGTTTTAAAGCCACTTGGACTGAGGTGGTGCACGTCAATCGGGAGCGATGGAGGGCCAAGGTGCCCAAAGGTAACACGCTGTTGGCGAATCTTCCAGGAGACCCGTCAGGACCACTCAGCGCCCCCTCATAGAACAGGGCATCGTCACCCCTGATTTGCAGGTGTTGCAGATGAAACCGAATCTCAGGCTATAGATTCAAATGGCTGAATGTTAGCACCTTACCCTCTTGTAATCGTTAGTATTTCTAAAACTCAGTGTGCGGTAGATGATGCCTCACAGCGCGGCCTTTGCGCTACATGATGAAACTCCTTTTCGTGGTGTGGAGTTTCTGCAGAAGATAGATGTTGTCATTTCTTGGTTTCTGCTCGACCATCTTGTCATTCTCATTTCATATCGCAGGCACAATTATTAGGCCTTATTCTTTTGTTTATCTAAGCAAAGCCTGGCCAATAGCCACCTCAGCCGTTATGCCGTGACAGAAGGAGCTGTATTTCCTTACATGCATTTTTATCTTCCTTTTGTGTTCACATTTTCTCTTCATTCGTTACTCAGACTGATATTCTGAGATGAAGGTAACTTGCAGGTACACAGCAACTTGCTGGAGCAAACATCATCAAAATTCAGATTAGAAAAGTCATGACTTTTGGTACAGTACACAAAAAAAGACTGAACTCCATGTTTCATGAAGGCTGAAATTCATTTGTCCGTACACACACTCATGTTTACAGAGCATGTACTACATGATCAGCACATATGACACACTCATACTGGGTAGCACAGGTGAGGATGCATGCCCGTAGTAAAGGCTTTGAGACTGTGATGCCTGATTCCAGGGGGGGACACGGACATGGATGACACTCAGTGGTCAGCAAGGGGTCCACTTCCAGTGGACTCGTGGAGGCAAGCCTTTGACAGCAGTCATTTTTCGCTAACATTTATCAAGTGCCTACTGTGTACCAGGCTCTGTGCTCCGTGCTCCATGCCAAGGGTGCAGAGATGAGTAATAGACATGCTTGTTGTCAAAGCTCACGGTCTCCTGGGGGGAGGGGACATTACTACAAAGTTTCTTTCAAAGGAAGCATGGGAGTTCATTCAGTCGAGGCCTTGCACTTGTCGCCAGCACTCACCAGGCCTGAATGACCCTCACTGCAGGCAAGGAGAGTTTTATCCCCAAACACAATGTCACCTACTTTTATCCACCCAGTGTCTGCACAAGTGGGAAGAGTGGGTGACGGGGCGGAGCATGATGGAGCAATCTTGGTCCCTCATACATCTGGGGCTGCTTCTAGTGTAGGAGAGAAGAGACCTCACTCGGAGTTGGAGTGATTCAAAGGCCAGCCACTGTGACTCATCTACAGAATCCCATTCAAATGGCTGCTCATTTCGGGTAGGGCAGAGGGTTTGTATTTATGGTGCGTCTAAGGCATCATTGGGCCCTTATCATTTCAGAACAGATGTTGTACCCTGAGCTATAGAGGGAGCCAATGCCTCTTCCATATTTTAAAAGTAGCCTTTCACAGTTCATTCAGCTGCCTTCAATATTTAAATCCTCCCAGTTGGCAGGCATTGCAAGCAGAGATGACAGCTACTGCATCATCATCTCCAAGGAAGCACTCTTATAATCAATTACACTCATTACACTTGAAAACCCAATTCCTGACAACACTCAATATAAAGACGTACTTCAAAATAATTCGTTTGCAATTATCTGACTTACAAAAATTACCTTCTGAAGCTAATCACCTGGGGGACCAATAGTTAGTTTCTTTACCAGGAGAAAACTAGCCCGTTAAAAAGGGCAGGTAAATCAACAGCTAGTAATTTTAAAATCTATTAGGTATGCTGATAGAAGTATATTTAGGCTATTTCGGAAGCTCAAAAGGACCTGTCCTTAACCCTGCTTGGAGTGTCTGGGAAGGCAACTGGTGGCCAGGACTTGAAGGGTGACTGAGTTCGAACCCTGGGGAAGGCGTTATATTTAGAAACGGGGAACAAGGAGAAAGGGGATAGACCAAGGCACAGAGCCCGGTTGTATATTTCGTGAGAGGGTAGTTTGGTCATCAGAACAAACTCCAGTTATTGGGGTAAGAGAGAATTGAATCCCTACTTGCCCTGTGTTCTTTGGCAAATTCAGGTAGATTCTTTGAGAAAATCCCACGTTGGGGATGATAATATACATCATCGTTGATGCAAAGAGCAGAAATAATATACGTAAAGCGCTGAGGACAGAGCCTGCCCATGGTTAGTGCCTGTCAGTGCTAGCTGTTACTTTTAAAAATTGGAAAAGAAAGTTAGAGGTTTGAATGCAAAGTTAAGAAGATGGTGGTAAAATAGGAACCTATAATTATTATTTTGTAACATTTTCAACCTCCCAGTCATGCTGTTGACTGCTGATTTGGTGTCAAGAAAAACCAGTTAGCATCTTTTCTTTTTTTATTAGTCATCAGTTTGTACTTGATTATCCCATGGTGTTTGCTCATTGTTTGTTTGTTTGTTTGTTTTGTTTTGTTTTGTTTTGTTTTGTTTTGCCAGAAAACTCTAATTTCAAGAAAGCTTCCCCGCATAAGGCGCTTGAACATACGTTGTTATTAAAATGATCAGAAATGAGATTGGATATAAAGTCTTGGTTTTATTAACCAATCTGATTTACAAAGCTAAGTAGGCCAGATCCCATAGTCGTCAGAAAAGATGAAATCAATATTTTTTATAGCTCTTAGAGTTGAAAATAATTATTCCCCA